GCTTTGAGAATGATGTTTAAATAATTTCACTGGGTAGCTAATTTCTATGACCAACATTGCCTAAACCTTGGGAATCATTCCCTTGCACATAGTCATAATCGTTAAGAGTGCTGTGAATACAGTAAAAGTTATATCTCTGGATGTAAAAATACAGTATGCATAGCAGGAACACAGAAATGAACAGAAATGAAAAATGTTCATTTCTGTGTCTCTGAGAATTATTATCTAAGTACTTTAAAATGTGTTCACTGTGTGTTCTGCCAGGTTACGACATATGAAACTACCATATCAGGATTGTCATTTTGATCCTAAATAGCCTAAATAACAATGAGGTCATATGTATTTTTCTTTTTTTTCCCCAAATAAAAAATGTAAATATAATAATATTACAAATGAAAAATAATGTGTGATAAATGTCTCTGATTCATCATAAATGATATTTCAGGAACATATTTTTGTGTGTTCTTGTCCTGACCTAGGCCACTGATAAATACTACATTAATAATTAATAATAAGTAAATATTTACACTATTTGCCTTAACAAGACTGATACATGGAAGATAATATAGCCCTTTATACAGTCCTTTAGCATTAGCACTTATTTAAGCCGCCATTATTTATAGCTATGAAAAGCATTTAATACCGTATTTAATTTTGGATAAAAATATTTTATTTTCATAAACATACTTTTTTCATTGTTATAACACTGAGGTTATATAGATTATAGATATAGATATATACATATATGCTATATAGATTTTTCTTTTAAAATACATCATGCTCGCAATTTCAGTCAGGCGTATATTCTGCCTCCTCGATCGAAGGTCCTTCGCTGGAGGTGACATTCATTGAAGGGCCCCGGTTTGTGGAGAGAAGCGGCGAATAAACCTTCACAGTCACAGAAATCATGGCCCAGGCGGTACAGAAACTTGTGGCTAAAGTGCCAACGTTGGTCGGCGGTAAGAATAATCCCATTTTCCTCAAGCTATAGAAGATGTATTTCTTCGAAAGATTTGTTTTGAGCTGCGTGCTTCTGGTTTCCGCAGCTGTTAGAACAGGCCGCGTAAATGAGCAAATCACGCATTAGATCAAACATTACAGTTACTATGTACACAGCAAGTGTAGTGATACGCTGACTTTTCGTGCTAGCAAATGACCAACAATTGTGTTAGTTAATGGTCTAGTGTTTTACTCCGTTTATAGCTGACACAATTCATTCTGAACGCGCACTACAGCAGCATTATGCTGAAGCTGACAGAACTGAACATTCGCCCAATGTCAACGTGTGAAGATACATTCAAATCAAACACTTAGATTTTTCCTATGGCACTGGCTTTGTAAAGTTTCCTTCATAAATGTAAATGTGACTTATATCTTGTGTATGTTTTCTTGATCAACGACTGTAATGATATTACAGCCGCTGTGAACTACTCCAAGCCCCGGCTAGCTACATTCTGGTATTACGCCCGTGTGGAGCTGGTGCCTCCCACCCCTGCCGAGATCCCCAAGGCCATCAGCGGCTTCCAGGATGTCCTCAAGGGCTTCCAGTCAGGACGGCTCGGTCAGACCACAGTCAGGGTTAGTATGGATTGAATTGTTTAAATTTTGTTTTGCATTTAAAATTGAACTTTTCCTTGAAGTCTGACAATGTTGGCACAAAATAACTACCTTAAATGTATTATCCAAAACACATCTGCTTTGGGAGAGGCACAGCTGTCATATTTCAAATATGTATTTGTCTAAAGGCCCAGGTATACTTCACTACTTTCCGCGTTCCTTTCCATCTCGCGCACAGCCGCGTCCGCACAGCTTTCAAATGGCACTTTTCCACTGCATGGTGCATACGGTTCACTTTTGGGGGGTTTTCCACTGGGTACAGTACCTGGTACCTGGTACTTTTTTTAGTACCACCTCGGTTGGGGTTCCAAGTGAACCGTACCGTTACCAAAACGTGACGTGTAAACTCTGCTGATCACGGATCTGCCGGAGAGAATTGTCACTACCTGCGTCACTGAACTTGACACGACACAAATGCAACAGAACCGCTAGATTTAAATCAGCACAGCCAGCGAAGGATCAAACTAGGGATGCTCCGATCCGCCTTTTTTGCCTCCGATACCGATTCTGATACCTAGGGTTCGGTATTGGCCGATACAGATACCGATCCGATACCAGTGACGTTTTTTTCCCTCATTTAAATAAATGTAGAATTTATATATCTCTGTGTGTGGAACTGATAATCATTCTTTCACAATCTACTAGATACAGACTACTTCATTATAAAGAAAAATAAACAATAAATATGAAAAAATATAGGCCTATGTATATTTATAATCTGACAAAAATTTATCATAAACTAGGTTAGTGCATTAACGACATGTGAATAATCCCGCCCACTCTAAAGCGGTACTGAACTGCAGTGGAAACGCAAACCGAGCCGTGCCATACTGAGCCGTGCCGAGTCGTACCACGCAGTGGAAAAGCACCAAAAGTGTACTCAACCGCGGATGAGTGCGGACGGACGAGCTCGACACAGGCGCAGTACCACCTACTTGACTTGCGCTTTGTCTCAACTTTCACTTCGCGCATGCGCTGTTGTACGCGGACGGGGTGCGCAGCTGTCCGCCAGGCCTTCTGATGACGAAAATGACGTAATGCGGACGGCCGAAGTATACTTTGGCCTTAAAGTCCCCATGAAATCAAAATTAAAGTTGTTTGGGTGTTCATATCAATATGTTAGTCTTAAGGTTATCTATAAGGCAGTGTGCTCCAAAGCAGTGACAATAAGCATTAGAGATGTAAGGGCCTTCTGTAGCGAATCGATGCATTTTTGTAAGAAAAATATCCATATTCAAAACGTAATAATCACTTTAATGTAGCTTGCGCTCACTGTTGTAAACAGAAGCAGTTCCGGGTTGATGACTTATGAGGTCAGCGCTGCGCATGTGCCTGTGAGACGCGTGAAAACCAACGTTTGTTAACAGGAGCGAAGGAAGCAAAGTTTCCTTACTTTAGCAAAGGATAACCAGTCTCCTCTTGGCTTATATTGAAATCCTCCGACATTCTTCTTTACAATTCCTCGGTTTGTACTTCTAATTCGTGACTCCTTTGTTCACCCCCCGGAGCCGTGTGAGACACTTTTTTTTATTTTTTTTTATGGATGGGTGCTTTTTATTTAACTTGTTTTGGACTGAAGCATGCAACACCCACTGAGTGCCATAAAACAGCTTGAAAGATCAAAGACAATTTTTTATATAACTCCGACTGGATTCGTCTGAAAGAAGAAAGTCATATACACCTAGGAAGACTTGAGGGTGAGTAATTTATGGGCTAATTTTCATTTTTGGGTGAACTAACCCTTTAAGGCCCTGTCCACATGAACGCGGTTATTTCTAAAACCGCAGCTTTTTCTACGGGGTTAGGCCGTTCGTCCACACGCAAACGCAGCACCAGTTCACTAAAACCGAACATTTTTGAAAACGCCTGCCAGGGTGAAGATTTTCAGAAACTCCGGTTGCAGTGTTATCGTGTAGACAGCGAAACCGGAGTTTTTGGCTTGTGACGTCGGCGCCTGCGCTGTTATCTCCGCCTACTGGAGACTTTTTCAGGCTTCTGGTTGGTCAACATGGCTTTACGGTTGAGATTATATCGCCACCTGTTGGTTTGACATGCTCTTGACAGTGCTTCATAGCATGCGTTTGCGTTTTCATGTGGACGGAGATTTTTTTTAAAAACTAAAGGAAAAATTGTGCACTATGCATATGCTAGTGTTGTTAGCCACCATGTTTGGAAAGACTTAAAGGGATAGTTCGCCCAAAAATGAAAAATTCTGTCATTTGCATATCCTCAGGTTGTTCCAAACTTGTATGAATTTCTGTCAGCCGTGGACACAAAAGATATTTTGAAGAATGTTGGTAACCAAACAGTTGATGGTAGCAATTAACTTCCGTAGCATGGAAAAAAAATACAATGGAAGTCCCTGCCTACCATTTGGTTACCAACATTCTTTAAAATACCATCTTTTGAGTTCAAAACAAGAAAAAAACTCGTACAGGTTTTGAAGTGGAGTCATTTTAGGGAGAACTATACATTTAACATTTGAATTAAATTACAGCATGCAAATATTTTAGGAAAAAGTTCTCTAAACCTGTTCCTTTTAAACATTTTAAATAAAACATTGAAGCACTTGCTGCAGTTCAAGCATAGCATTTTTTTCTAATAATAATTGTATTTTCTAGTAAATAAAAGCTTGATTAAGCTATTTTATCAGCCTGTGCCTGTTCATTTATTAAACTGAACATACACTTCTTTGTCAGAAAGTGAGGTTTAAAGGGGTCATATGATGTTGCTAAAAAAAATTGGGTGGCGTTATGCAAATCTTCCCACATCGTGACGTAGATATGTTGGGGCGTGTTAGAACGAGCCGTTTTAGGTAGGTGTGGCTGACTCTTAACTTTTATAAAGAATATCTCTTTGGATTTGAGACTTTAGTCTTTGCAACTTTACAGATCTTCTTTATGCACCAAGAGCTTGTAACACTCCAAAGAGAAAGGAAAAATTGAAATCGCATCATATGACCCCTTTAAATTGCACATTTAATCATTTTGGAAAACCTGATTATTAGTAGTTCCAAGAATATTTATGTAATGTCTCTCATCATTTTTATTTATTTGCCACAGGATGCTCTGAGGAACGGACTTGTTGCCACAGAGGTTCTGATGTGGTTCTACATCGGCGAGATCATTGGGAAGAGAGGCCTTATTGGTTATGATGTATAAATGTGGACTGTCCTGTTTGCTTGTTCTCTTTGCTGAGCTTTGTCAGTTTTCTTTATCAGATTCTTGGAATCCAGGAACTAAATAAATTAATATTATTAAAGAATGAACAGCTTTCATGCTTCTTTAATTCCAGTGGGCTTTTAATAACATGTCAGTGAGTGTACCCAGGAGAATGTTACGATGTTGCTGAATCTTAGTCTGATAGATGGTGGAATTCATGGATATAAGTTTACAGTTTATCACTTGTCAATTCTTACTTGTAGACAAAAAAGCAGAGCTCTGCACTTATAGAACACTACACTACATAACCAATGTCATTCAAAGTCTTTCATTTTTGTGTTAATGAGTGAAAGTATCTGAAAATAAAAATTGTTTTACCAGGTCAAAGTGATTTTTAATGCAGTTGTGGAGGAAAAATACAAAAGCTGAAAGAAAAATGCGTTGTAGCCTATATATTATGTGCAATATAGATTTATACAAAATTATGTAATAATTGACATTTCTTCTCGCTCCTGATTTTCTGATAGCATCCGCATAACATTTCCCAAGTATTTGTGGAACTCCTGTCGAACATCTTCAGGCTCTTCCTCAAGGATTGAGTGAATGAGAGGCAACTTGTTTAACTGTGGGGCTACACCGAGGATAAGTTAAATAAGTTTTATAATATAAATAACTTGTCATATGCAACTCTAAGCAACTTTTTTGAAGGGGTGTTCAGAAAAAAAAAAACTTTTCATTCAGTTTCAAGCCAAAAAGCAAATAAAAGCACTTGATGATCTGATGCAGCTAATGCTGTAGTGAGAAGATAAATTACCTAATGGTGGACGGGTAGTGCCAGCCCCGCTCCCTGGTTTATGATGTGCTATGAGCAGACACTGGGCATCCTGCAGTCCCTGTGAGGAGATGAATGTAGAATGCCAGGTCTCTATTTCCTTTAGATGACTGGGCACATCTGGGTTAAACACAATAACTACCCCATTGGCGTCTTTCATCAAAGCTGGCCAGCATGATTCAAATCTGTGCACGTACAATACTGAATTAATTTACTCAGAAAGAAATCAGAATTGTTTGACAACTTAAGGCTGGCTCAGGAAAAGGGATTGCATTTGGTCAACTTACTTGAAATCACCCGCACAATCCCATAGTTCCACTTCACATGCTGATTTTTTGTTGTCATTAGATAAACTCTGTGATTCAAACTCAAGTATCCTAGATGGAAATTAAATGTCGTAATTGAATTGCTAACAAAATTATAACTTTTGGCCAGGCAGCAAAAATGTGTATTTGTTGCCACAATATCTTTAAAATCAACCCACCTTACTCCTTGTGTAGGGCTGTAATCAGCTCCGATTGTTTCTGTTGTGTCAGACAGAAAACTGGCCAATACTGTTTTCCCACACTATCAATATGAAATATGAAAATCAGTGATGGACACAAATAAATAAAGATACACAGCATTCTACACACTATCAAACGATTTACCTCACTAGGTCCAATTAATAATATTTTCATCTTGAAGTATAGAGAAAAAAAAGGAAAAGGAGAAATTTTTGACTAGAGACCAATTTTTTCTAACGTAGCTAGCGAGCTAGCTTCTAAGACAACAATTTGACATTTCTATTGTGTATAAGATTAAAAAAATGAATGAAATGTAAAACGTTTGCTCAAAGTGTCAAATCAGCGCGATAATTCTACCGATAGACGTCGAAAGGCAGGTAGATGATGCACACGGTGGGTTAGGTTAGCAGCTCATGGCTAACATAATACAACTCGTTTCCAGCGATTACGCAGAAGGTAAAACACGCGTCGCAGATTCGCTAACCTTCAACATTTATTTTGAGTTCATTGAAAATACTTTAAAAATAAAAAAAATCCTGAAAACAGTAGAGATAGGCATTTAATTTGTTTAGTTTTTAGGTTGTATAAATAACTTTAAAACAACCCCTTACAAACAGAAACCAAATTTTCAAGGGAAATAATGCAAGGCTTTTGGACACTTCCACTGTTACGTTAACACGCAGTGAGCAATATTGCGGGGCATTACAACCTCTGGGGGAACTTGCCGTTAAACCAGCCTTTTATAATCGTTTTAATTTACGAACATTAATACAATTCATGAAACAGCAAAAATGTAAAGGGCAAACATATAAAATATAAAATCATTGTTTTGGCTACCCTTTTTTTATAATTAACTGTATGAAATGACTTACATTTATGAAAAAAATACTCTTTATATTTAAATATTGTTTGGACAGAATTCACAAAACAGTATTCTAACTTAAGCCATTTTGGTTTATGAAACCAACATATGTAGTATCTGTTCGTACACAGGTTTATAAACATGATCCTAAAAAGTGATTTCTAAAAAGTTGTATTTCCTCTTATAGCCACCCGAGGACACCAGACATCTGCTAATATCAGTCATGCTTGCAAAGACGCAAACTGTCCACAGTCCACAGGTTGTCTTAAAAAAAATAAAGGTGAAAGCAGAAAGCAGCTTTAACGACTAAACCGGTAAGGTAACACAAAGTAAACTGTTCAACTATCCATCTGTAGTTTATTCCAAAAACCTCAGTAACTTTCAAGGTTTGTTAACCATAACAGCGCCACTAAAAGTTTCAAGGAGTTCACACAAAAATGAAAAATTGAAGCTTTAGAAAGTGTGTCAGAAATCGTCACATTCTGGGAGAGTTCTTCTTTTTTCCTTCATAAACGTTCATGTGTTTGATTTATTCATTATCATATTTGTTCATGGTATGATGCATTACTTACTTCTGCAGTTTATATATAAACACTTTCACCACCAGAATGTTTATTCAAGCTACATAAAAAAAAAACATATTGTCAAAATAAATGACTTAGTTTGGCTGCCAATGCATGCCATATCCTCCTGACTACCAGCTATGGAGTTTTGTCCACTGTAGAGGACATTATGTTTTAGCGATTTCTCTGAGACGTTACATGTTTTTACTGTCCTGTACAGAGCACATTCAGGGCTTTTCAGAGATACCAAATGATTGGATGTTTCACCATGACCACTCCCTCTCTTTCTCTCACATTCATTTAGTGATCAAATGTAACACCCTAATGGAAATATGATAATATTTTGTAATGATCATTTAAATCTGACTAATTGACCAATTGTTTGTCATAAATCAACATCTCAGGAAAATGTTATGGGGTTTCAAATCAAAATATGACCTTCTGTTATGAAACAGGAAATCAATTTCGTACATGTCCACTGTAGAGGACACCAGGACTTAAAGAATGTTTATTACACATTTTGGGAAACACAACAAATGAATAAAGAAAAAATTATATATCAATATTATATTACTATTAGTATTTTATTACTATTAAATATTAGAAATTATTATGAAAATCTTGCTAATTATTACTCCCATTATTGCACTTATTTGTTCATTCTATGTTGCCCCAAAAACACATTAATATGCAAATTAGATACAGTTTATAGATACATTGTATATAATGGGAAAACTTGTTTATGGCCATTTTACACACATTTTGCATAAAGAAAAATGTTTTTTAAAAATATCTTTCATAACATAGTTGAGAATCGTCTTTATATAAAGTTTGGTATAAAAAAATGAAAATTGATTTCTGGTTAAAACAAAAATCCCACTCTTTTTGCCTTTTCATGTCTATTCATGTCTTTTTATTTTTTTAAAAACAGGACTTTTTAAAGTCCCCGTGTCCTCTACAGAGGACATGGCATAACATATGAATAAAATATAATTTTTCAAAAATGTTATTTTTCAAAATTTTTCTTATGCTCTAAACAATGTAATGACATGACAAAATACTAAATTCACAAAACTGTTTTTTTTCCTGGTAGTCAGGAGGATATAATGCAAACTAATGCACATTTTTTGATGTCAGCCGTCACACATGTAATAACCAACACTGCCATTTGCTGGAGAGATAAAGAAGAACAGTTCATATTACTCACCTGTCATCATCACTGATCTGCACGATAAATTCATAGTTTTCATGTGACATCAAAACAAAACTTTCCTCCACTGACCGCCTGTTATTTTTACAAAGTTTGTATTAAGTAGTAATGTATTAACATTACTATTAACAGTGATATTAAAAGGCCACATTCAGTAGGCTATATATATACTTTATTGATGATGCACATTTTGTACAGGCAAGCAGATGAACGCAAAATAAATCAACATCTCAGGAAAATGTTATGGGGTTTCAAATCAAAATATGACCTTCTGTTATGAAACAGGAAATCAATTTCGTACATGTCCACTGTAGAGGACACCAGGACTTAAAGAATGTTTATTACACATTTTGGGAAACACAACAAATGAATAAAGAAAAAATTATATATCAATATTATATTACTATTAGTATTTTATTACTATTAAATATTAGAAATTATTATGAAAATCTTGCTAATTATTACTCCCATTATTGCACTTATTTGTTCATTCTATGTTGCCCCAAAAACACATTAATATGCAAATTAGATACAGTTTATAGATACATTGTATATAATGGGAAAACTTGTTTATGGCCATTTTACACACATTTTGCATAAAGAAAAATGTTTTTTAAAAATATCTTTCATAACATAGTTGAGAATCATCTTTATATAAAGTTTGGTATAAAAAAAGGAAAATTAATTTCTGATTAAAACAAAAATCCCACTCTTTTTGACTTTTCATGTCTATTCATGTCTTTTTATTTTTTTAAAAACAGGACTTTTTAAAGTCCCCGTGTCCTCTACAGAGGACATGGCATAACATATGAATAAAATATAATTTTTCAAAAATGTTATTTTTCAAAATTTTTCTTATGCTCTAAACAATGTAATGACATGACAAAATACTAAATTCACAAAACTGTTTTTTCCTGGTAGTCAGGAGGATGTAATTATATTTTCTTTCTCACTTTCTCATCAATAACATTAGAGCATCAAGCAGTAGAAACGCCCACTATTGATGAACTATTTTATTTACCCTATAGAAAACAATTGAAGAAGTTACTTTGCATGTTTGTGAAAGTTAGTTTGCATCATATGTGAGCTGGGTGCATTTGAAAGCCTCAAGGCCAAACTGACTGACTATGTAGAACTCATGGCCTAGTGGCCTACATGACTGCACTTATGAATAGAGAATACAGAAGGAAGTACCAAAGATGGGAGATGCGAGATAATGCAGAAATAGATCATGTGTGTAAAATTTATTAAAATCCTAAAATGTATATGCCTCTGCAACCTTGGGCACCCGGAAAGTGGTAGATAAAAGAAGTTAAAATCTCTTGAAAAACAGACTAGCAGGTGGTTTTCTACAATGAAAGCAAGCATTATGAAAACTAATAAACACTTGTGGAAAAGTACTGGGAATGACGTATCAAAGAATGATCTGAACGCTCATTGGACAGTGACCGATAATGAAATTGTACAAAGATGGTAGTCTGGACAGAGACAGATTTAGATGTTCTGTAGGCATCTCGGCTTTGTTGTCTTCTTGCAATAAAGTCTAATTTTGACTTCTGGAACTCTGCCTCCTGAGCATTGTTTTTGCAAGACAGAAAATACTTTTCTCAATTCATTATGCAGCATTCATTCAAAATCACCACTTGGTATAACTGTCTAAAAATTGATCACATATTGTGAAAGTCAGAAGAGGTTTGGCAATGTAATGTTCCTCATACTTTAAATATGTGTAATGTGTTAACTAAGATGATTTTTTTATGTGGTGGTTTCAGCAGCAAAAACACAAGACTATGTTTACTAAAAGATATATGATCACATTTATTTCATCAGAGACCAGTATGTATTACAACTTTAAAACTTTATTGAAATATGAAGAAGCCGTTGATGAATAATGTTGCTTTACAATGACTTTTGGATACACACATGTTGAGAATTCCATATAATATTAACTGAAAATGTTTCTTCATTTATTTAAGAGAATATTATATAGTTTGCGCTTTGCAGGATCATTACTAAAAAAAAAAGATATAATTCTTCCAGAACCTGTAAAACGACAGCTGACAAATGGCATTCAGCATAAAAGACAGAGTTAAAAAAATATATATATATAAAATTGAACAACAGAACAAAGAGCAAAATTGTCTGTCCCTCACTTCAGATTATTCATGAAAAGCACACATCTCATGTAGTGTTCATTTTAATTGGCAGATCTTGACTGATGTTCCAACCCCAAACCCAGGATAGAGGGGCTCAGTAAATGTGGTCTCGAAACGATGCAGACGTGTCATAGTCTCACCAATACTATAGAAGGCCAACAGCCCTGCAGAGTGGTCCAGAAAGACCCCTATTCTTGAAGAGTGAGGGCCGCTAACAGCCTTGTCTACCCTGTTATGCCAGGCTGAGTACCCTGTGTCAGAGCAGAGGAGGCTCCAAGACTTATCGTTGTAGCCTAGCAAGCAAAGGGAGCCTTTACCCTTACGGCTAATGCCCCGACAGGCCACTCCGATCGAGAATTCCCCACTCCACTCAATTTCCCAGTAGAAGCGGCCACCTGACAGAGCTTCACGACAAAGAACCTGGGCAAAGCTATCGAAGCGATCTTGATTGTCTGAGTATGGCTGCGGGTCTCGGGTTCTAATCACCTTTCTGTTTCCTTCAGATATGTACAGCTCCTTATGCGCAGTTTGTGGGTCTAGCCTCAGCTGA